CACCTTCCCACAAACGGCAACTCCGCAGCGGGAAGAGAAACGAGAGAAAAACCTCACGCCCTTGAAAGCCCCCCCCCAAAAAAATAAAAATTCAACCTCAGGCCTTTATTACAGGGAATGACTAATCGTTTTCCACATCTGTTGAACACTTCTCGCGAAATACCAGCCGCGCAAGAGCTCGCCCGTTTCCCATGCAAGTTATTTTAACGCCGTGATTCACCTTGATCAGCTTTCACCATCTTTACCAGCCGCTTGCGGCATTTTTCATTGATTTCCGTGACTTGTGGGTGTTCGATGCTTCAGCGCAGATGGAGCATTATGCAATCCTGAGAACCACCCTGCAAAGCCCTCTCTAAAATTAATGAACTTTCACAGGGCCGATATCTTTCATTTCTTACGGGTTTGGAAACCCGCACTGTGCAGGGCCATCGAGGACCAGGAGCATCCAGACACCCGCGGTTTTAAGCGTCTTCCAGGAACAGCTATGAAGGTAACAGGTAGGGCGTACCAACATCAGGTTAAAAACAGGTCTGCACCTGTAACACCACGTACGAGCCTTTGGTTGTATTTGGTTCTAAAGCCAGCGGTAAAAGTAACGGCTTCATTGGAAAACACTTTATATTTCAGCGCTCCGACACAGAGCTGCGGCTCTCCAGGGAGGCTCCGGTGTTCCCCAGCACACCAAGAGCCGGCAGGTTCCTATTTCCCAGCCACAGCAAAGCGAACGGCATCTTAACTGGGCTCCTTTACCAGCTCTGAAATCAGCTCATCGGAGAGTCATCCCACTTTGCAAAAGGAGCAAAACGAGCGCGGAAACAAACATTTCTATTAAAACATATGGTAGCAATGGAAGGCTCAACTGAGCAGTAACAGCAAAGGTTTCTGCTCTGTGCTCACAGGAACTGAGTGAGCTTCCTGAGTCAAAACAGGAGTTACATCTACGTTCGAGATGGGAGTTCCCACGAGCCCTGACCAGCCTGCAAAAATTCCTCCTCCTCAAAGCTTACAAATGGGGCATGTGTCCAACATCTCACCCAAGATGCTATAGGTTTAGCAATTAAAGAAGATTTTCCCTAAGTCCCGTCTTCCTCCCCAAAAGCACCATATGTACTTGTTCCTCGCAGCCGAGAGAAGAGCTGTGTTCGCAGCACCGCCTGTTCTCCTCGGCATCTCCCAGCAGACAGGTCGCAGCTGGTCTCTTCTCCTCCGGGGCCATTTGGAGGGTCTGTCACAGGCTGCAGGAATCACCCTCTGCCCAAGTGTTCTTTAGGAGAGCAGCGGCATGGGTTGAGGAAGGGAAGACGCGTGCATTTAAATTGTTTTGCTTGGCTCTGTTCGTGACAGATCCTCTCATACAAATTTAAAAACTCATTCTGTACAAAAAGAATAATCTGCTTTAACAGCCGAACAGGGAATCCAGCTGTGCTCTTAAACCCAGCTTACCAAATACGGAACTTTACAGAGGGCCATATCAAGGTAATGTCTTAGCCTTACTGAAAGCGCAGCTTTTTAAGTTAAACATAAAAATACCATAGGTAAGTTATACAATAAAGCTTGTAGCCAGTTGCTTTATTTAATAATCCGAACAGCAACTTGAAACCAGGGGTAAGGAATGGGCAGGGTACGACAGTCTCCTTCCAGGAAAAGCTGCTGGGGACATCTCCGCCATACCAGTTGGAGCCTTGTTCCTGAAGCTGTTTCACACTCCTGTTGCTGTCCAAGATACCGACTATGAACCGCTATGCACGGTGAGACCTCACCGAGGAAGTGTAAAGTCCAGGTTTATGCCAGCTCCAAGCAAGGCCAGCCTGAGAATTTATACCAAAGGGCTGGACTAGAGGCCGAAGAAGCTGGGGCCGCTCAGAGCAAGGGCCAGGGAAGATGGGACTGCTGAGGCACGGAGCGCTCTGCAGCAGGAGGATGTTTCTAGAGCCAAGCTTCTCTTGAAGAGAACAGTATTGTTGGGAAACACTTCCACAGAGGAGACGTGACTGCTGCTGTACAGTACCAAGCACAATGGGGGCCTTTATCTTGTTTATGGTCTTTATCAAAATCCTACAAATAATAAGATGCGGATTAGTCCTTTGGGGAAATCGGGAGATGAAAGATCACTGGTGCTTGTTAGCTCACAGCCGGCAGAATACTACCTCCAGCGGCTACACGTCGGTAGAAAAGGGAAGGTTATTTAGGTGACTCAGACTTCAGCACTCAAAGGAATCTCTACCCCTCACAAATTTCAGCGAGTCCTCTATCACCCCCGGAACGTCTGGCTAATTAGAGCATCTTTGAGAGACACATCCGATGCTGATGGCTATTTTGGGATCTCAAATTAGCTTTTGCAGACTCTAGGCTAAAATTTGAATGTAGTAATGCTATGAGAGGGAGGAAGATGTTTGATGCAGGGCATGTTTTCAAAATACTTTTGGCATGTACAGTTGTTTTCAATATTGCGAAGATTTACATTCCTCCGTAACATTAAAATCTTTCACATAAACATGCAACAAATGCAATGCACAAGCAAGCTGTATTACTCCAAAGGCAGTGTCACAAGATCCACTTCTACTGGTAAAAAACTGCATCATAATAGATGATCTCTATCAAATCTTTTCCACTTGATATAAAAGCTGTGCCTATTAAGAAAGAAATGGGAAAGATTGGTACGACACCA